GCCCTCGCTACACTCCCTATCGTTTGTAGGAATCACTTTCCAGGATGAATGTAATTGTTTCGGTACCTTAAGGTCAGCGCCCGCGATCAGCCAACGTGCAGAGGCCCTCTAAAGTACAAGACGGCGGAGTCCTCAATCACAGGAAATGTCGCAATTCTGTGACTCGAAAGCGTTAAAGGGAGGCGGGCTCAGCTATGATAAGCTAGCTTCGCCTTTGCAAGCTACATAATTCCTCCTCGATAGATTTTTTCGTTATGAAGTCTAAGTGGCGGTGGTGGGACTTTCGGAGTAAAAGATCTTATCAAACATGCTTTGGGAAGTGAGTAGCTGCGAGGCAGCGGCTAGATAAAGAGAGCTCTCTCAAAGTTTGGTTAACTCGTCCATTTTCAATCCCACACAGGGATTCGCAGTTGGATGCGTTTTCTACGGTTTCGTTCGCCTTTTTCTTCAATTCCTCTTACCCCATGATCTAATGGCTTTCAGCTCTACAACCTGCGAAACGCTGTCGCGGGCGCTGTCAGTTCAGATCCCAGGCTCATCTATCACGAGAGTCACTGGTATGCGCTATGTACAGGACTTCGCTTTGTTCAGACAGAAGTACTACGAAATTCAAACAACCAAAGCGTTCCTTCTCAAAGTAGAGGAGCCTCAGATTCGATCCGTTCCACAGTTATCATTACGACAGAGGTCCGATAGAACTACATCATGGGTCCCTCCCAAATTTCATGGTGCAAGAAAAAGAAGAAAATCAAGGGAAGTGTGCGTCATCTGGAACGAAAAGGCATAGGAGTGCAGCTCGTTTGCCAGCAATTACATCATCTCTGCTTCGATGGTGCACCGCAACGATCATTCACGAAATCGAGCAAATGCAAGCTGATTTCTTCTCTTGAAAAATGGAAAAATGGGTATGGGGCTGAGCCTGTAGAAAAAAGGTGAACGGACTAGTCTCTGATGTCCCATGGACTAGTCTTTGATGCCCCATTGGTGGAGCGAGCATCTCCGAATGAGGTAAGTGCACCTAAATCAAATTGATGAAAGACTTTGCTGCAAGGCTAAGCAGATGTAAATGATGAGTGGGGAGGGCTCGAGCGGATGGAGGGGAAAAACGGCGAAAATAGGGATACCGTCTTACTTGAATTTCGTTCTTTCTCCAACTGTAGGGAAAGCAAAATAAAGTACCACCTCTCGGCCGAAGCTCAAGGGAAAGGCCGTATTTGGAAAGCATCGCAGATCAACTAGTGTGGGCAAGACATGCAATTTGACGTTGACTGATGCAAGAAGGCGGTTATCATCGTATATCATGACGTGCCCTGCTCGCCTGATCTTCGACACTTTAGAAATTACACACCAATATATACCATTTTCACTTTAAATTCACCACTTTTCAAACCAAATTCACCACTTTTCAAACCAAATTCACCACTTTTCAAACCAAATTCACCACTTTTCAAATCAAATTCACCACTCTTTTTAGACCGGGCAGTTCACCAACCAGATCACGCCAGACACCACTGCGACCCCCACCCCCCAACGGTCACGCCTACTTGTCAGCGCGGACATAGATTTTCAGCACATTGACACATGGCCGATTCCGCCCATTCTTCAAAGGGCTTGTTGCGAACTTTGAATTTTCATAACTTTTTCAAACTTTGAAATTCACATCCATTCTTCGCACGAAAGAGGTACTCGTGGGCGCATTTATGCACTGGCAATTTTGGCTCCGCCCCCTGGCCTCGCCCACTTGCTTTTTGCGGAATTTCGATATTTTTTCAAAATTTTTGCATTTTTTGGTCGTTACGTGAAGACCTGCCCAGTGTGAGAGGCTCCTCCCACCCGCCCACTTTTCAAAAATGGTGTAAATCGGCAGGTATAGGGCTTGCTTGCGTGCTAGGGTCTCGTCCGTCACCCGGAACAAAGAAATCAGACAAAGTTTGTTCCGAATGACCAGCAATACCCTAGCCATGTAAGCCGAGACTCTACAATGCCGATTTGCACCATTTTTGTAGACTTCCTCCGAAGTGGGCGGAGCTTCTAACAGTTGGGCGGGGCTTCATGCAGCAGATCCAAGGATGCAAAATTTTTCAAAACAGATAAAATTCAGGCAAAAAGCAAGTCGGGCGTGGTCCCAAGGACGGAGCAGGGTGCCAATCTGCGTGGGTACGAGTATCTTCGTTGTGCAAAGAGTGGATGTGAAATTAAAAAGCTGGAAAAGTGTAATTTCGAAGTTTTGAATAAAGTGAAATTGTATTTGTAATTTTAGAATAAAGACTTTTTCACAGGTTTTTGACCGTTTCATTTTGCCTTTCGTCAATTTGCCACTATATCGCACCCTTCCTACCACTTTTGACTGAGTACGAAATGATCGTGCCTCATGCCTTTAAGCAGGATTAACCCCCTGTGCTCCTCTATTAAGTTTAGGGAGGGATAATAGCGTTACTAGCGCCCGCTCTGACGGCCTGATAAGTACATGGTGGAGGTCGTGTAGCCGATATCATGAGGTACCAAACATGAATATCATAAGGTAGGTATTATGGAACATTTCATGTCACGATATACAACCCTACCGCAATCGACACCAAACAATCACGGCAGTCGCGCGAAATGATGATTTCGTAGCAAATGAAAATGATATTTGATTCGCGGAATTTTCGTAGAGGACCTTGTAAAACAGCAGAGGGCGGTCGTTCAGTATGGGTACGCAGTAAAATACGTATTGTCATTATTATAATTTAGGCTATAACACCTCACTCATGTAATAGGGGTAAGGTCCTTCGAGGTGGGTGGACCACTTTTCGAGAAGTCCGTGGATTTCTTTCTACATAAAAGGATTGATTCGCAAAAAAAAAACAGGATCTTCTTCCTCCCATCAGAGCATGGGCAAATGCTGTCTCCGTCCCAGCGCTAAACGTCGTGAAACACCGTCGAGAGGGGCGCGGGGGGGGGGGATTAGGGAATTTGGTCACCAAAGGATGGAGGGGTCGTCACCAAACAGCAACTAATTTCAATGATGAATATATGGGGTTGATGTATGATTACTCCGACATTTTTCACGCCTTTTTTCTTTTGAAACATGACGTTTTGCTTATTATTTTCCAAAAAAATAATCTCTCTTCCATTATTAGAAATGCACATCGGAAATCTTTCTCGTGTCTACTACTTCGAGAAAGGCTGGAAGACTGGGGAGTCATTCCGCGATTCGACGAAATTTTCACTTTTTGAACGAGGGGAATCAGCAAAAGCTCAATTGAAAGATGGTTCAAGCGGTTCAAAACGGGCGACACAAAACTCCTGGGTGAAGAAGAAAAGTAGACAATTAGAAGTCAACGACCAGGTTCTTCCCGCGGGCGTGGAAGAAGACGAAAGCCTAGCAACACGGATGCTGGCCGATGACTTCAGTGTCAACCAGTCGACGATCATCAGTCGTCTCAAAATACTCGGAAACGGGTGGAAATTGGTTGGATGGGTCTCCCACAAACTCTCCGGCAACAACAAAACAGAACGTGTGCGCCATTTTCACTGATTGTCTTTCACCACGTTAACGCCCGTCCTCATGTGAACGTCGCTCGTCGCACCGATCGCCAGTAAGGGATGGGGTCTGCCCCACATACGCTATTTGCCGACCAAATACTCCTAAGACTACCGCGCTAAATCGTAAGTCTGAAAATGGCTAAGGTCAACAAAATCGCAGAAAACGCAGTTTAATGGCCTTCGTTGCCGATGTCAAAGCGTGGATTGCCCTTTAGAGAATCGTGATTTTTCAGCCCGCTGGAATCGACGCAAAAGTGCGACAATGGGAAGGGAAGGATTACTGAGAATTATAAGTGTTGTACTGGGACCGGAATAATTATCACAGAAACCTTTTTCGTCATCAGTTTGATGATAAAAAATGAGAGGCACTCGAGTAATACTCAAAAGTTGCTCAGCTGAGATAATCTAGGCAAATGACTGGAAGAAGTTCGAACGGATGGATTACCGCCTGTACATTGGCAACATTTAATGAGGTTTAAGTTGAATAGCAGCGATGAAAGCCGATCGGGTTAGACCATTCAGGATATAATTAGATGGTGATGTGATGCGGCCTCCGATTAAAGATGCTGGCCATATACGTCCTAGGCATTAGTCAGTCAGAACGAAGACGATGAAATGTGATGCGAGTAGCTGATGAGTGGTGCTCTGGGCTGTTCCAGCTAAACTGAGAGCTGAAGTGTTTCTATGAACTTCACCACGTTTTGTTGGAAAAACACTTTCCCAAAGGATCGATTTCGAGCTCGGATAATTCAAATCGTAACAACTGGAACAAGGCACATTGTTGGCTGTGCCTGGCTCAGAGTGGGGGCGGAGGGAATTTCGCCCATTCGCTAGTTTCTTTTGCAAGTTAATATTAATCACCAGGAATTAGCAGTCTTACAATAAGCCCTTAGGAAGCTCCGAAATGGTACAAGGTAGGGTACAGGTACAGAAATTCCTAAGTCTTCACAAGGTGGCCTGTACAAGCTCCGCTGAATACCATTTGGTGCCTCCACCAAGCCGAACTGTATCCCCACCATTGTCATCATCGTCAGGGATTCCCCAGAGGAAGGAGGGAGTCTACTTCAGTTTGGAAAATTAGCTTTGTTTAACTCGATGATAATTTATTATTAATGACCTTGCCAGTCTCAAGCGGATTATACTAAATGCACGCCATGGCGTTCTGTGAAAATTCCGCCTAATACGACTCTCCTAGAAGAGAGTTCCGGTTTGTCCCCCTATAAACACTAAACACGAGATGATATTGAATCGAATATTTGGATTTTGAGACGTTCGCGACCGTTCTACAGGCTCACTGAAGCGAGCTATCCGCAGGAATCTTTTCAAAGAAGGCCGGGAACTCCGGAAGAACTCCTTTTTGAACATACTAATTTTTTTGAGAGCGGAGCGTCTGAAAAAGAGAAAGCAGGGCTGTGAAGTCCTAGGTTTGTTATTCATCAATTGTGCTTGAACAATTTAAAACACATCCTTTATAAGGAAAATTCTCCGCTGTATCGCCGTTTACGAATTTTAGTGTCACCTACGAAATTTCATGTTTAAACGCCATATTTCTTATCTGAACTCGTCTAAAACCAAACACAGGCGTAATCGGAAGGATTTCTGATCGCTAGTATAGGCAACCTCGATTTTTTCCACATAGGTCCACTATTTCGAAAAAACGTTAACCTGTGGTTTTGTTGTGACAGCTTTCGGAACGACATCAAAAACCCACCCCTCCGGCGCGATAACATTTCCAGTTTGTTTGAGGATTTGAGTGAGCTTCTAGTACATGTATAAAAATAGGTTGATTCGAAGCCGATTGACATCCCCTCTGTATTGCGCCACGCATTCCGACTCCCGCAGAGGTGTTGGCAGGGTGTAACTCCTAGGTAAGGCTTCTCTGGATAAGCAGTTGTGCACCTACAGGTTCAGAAAGGTATACTGTGTTTTGTTGGTTCATTCTCACTTTCTGGATATTCAAGATATTTTGTGAAAGGAAAGACGCATTTTTTGGCCTTGCCGCAAAGAGGCACAAAAAAGCACAGCATTAGTTTTTTGCCTCTATTGTGAATTCTTACGTTCTAACCATTTCCAGGAATTCCTCGTTCGCTACATATCATTCACATAATAAGGGCAAACAAAAAACATGCAAAATGAAAGTCAGAAAAAAAACGCGGCTTCCAAGGCGAAGCGCACCCCAGAGAACACGACATTTCCGTTTATTCGTACAACAAGATTTTGGTTGTAAAGAAGAATGTTCCGGAGGATATCTGCGGACCGCTCGCTGATTTACTAGTACGGAAATTGATTAAGGAATCAAATCTCTGAAAAAGGTGATTTCCTTGTGCCGACAAAGGGAAGGATAGTATGCCCCGACATTTGCTCGAGGCATACTATTCTTTTAAAAATTGGTCTGCTCGTCCTAAGGGACATATGTATGTATCCCTGTGCAACGATATAGGCACTTCGTCTTCTATATTCGCCGAGAAATAGTATGTCTACATCGAAAGCGCAAAACGAGCAAGGTTGTCAACTTCCTCGTTGGGCCAACGGCAACCTATTTTTAACCGCTTTGACGCGTCCTCAGTGATCACATGGAAAAAGGTGAAAGACCAATACTAAGAGGCACTTTGACGAATAAGTTGAGTATGTCCA